GTACTTTTGAGTTTGATATATAATAAATAAATGATACATAAATTTTTGAAGGTTATTTATTTGGTAATCATTTATATTCATTAGATGTATTCAAGTTAAGTCAATACGTTTTTATCAGAAGTTTTAAAAACTAATACTTGGCTATATCTCTGAATCCTTTCCTATTGCAAAATCTTCGATTATTCAGCTCAAAGTCTCTGTCATTTATCTCGATAAAGAAACAGAATGCAATTTATTTTTCATTTATTATTAATGTATTTCTTGCTAGTTTTTTTTTTATTTTTTAAAATGTTCTGAAGTAATCGAATTCGGATAACATTGCCGTCTCTCACTTATATGTCTATATTTGGAAAATCAATTTGCTGGAAGTAGTTTGTATGATCGAAATATACTCTTCATATACTCGATAAAGCGTGAAAAAAAGGATACTTATTTTGAGACACATTTGACGGCTTCTTCATCTGTCATAAGATGTCAAATATTGTGTACTTTTCAACTTCGCATAAAATATTTTCAATTTATTGTTTACTCTTTAAATTTATCAATAAACATTTTATTACAAAATGGCTTCCAAAAGTTAAGCTCACAGTCTAAACTTTCAATCTTCAAAAGAAAGCGTATTTTAGTGCCCTTGAATGATTGCGAATTTATAGATGTCGATATGAAAATATCATATTTTACAGCCTACGATTGAATTCATGTACACCTTTTGAAACCAACATTTTAAAAGTTTTCCTTGAGGTACATTTAAATGCTTACCCGAAATGCTTATAGTTTTACAGTATTATTTTTTTTTTGTTGATTTCCATTTGCTATAACTGAAAAAAAAATGAATTACAAGCAAAGATAGCTGACATGCTTTCAAACATTTTGAATGATTGAGTGATGAGTGTTTATTAGCATTGCACTCTGAAGCAGAATGAAGGCTATTGGCGATGGGCCTCGTAATTTTAAACCATAGTTAAGTGACGAGAACGATACCTGAGCTGATACTACTCTCCAAACTTCTACATCACACTAAAGAGAGGAATTTGAGTCCTTATAGATGTAACATGGATCAACCTTTCAGCGGGTCTTCAGTGACATCAAGACTGGAACCCGCTACTCCCAACAATACCGAGGAGGCTTTGAAGAAGGACAGCCAATCGAATGTGTCATTCTTGGCTTTGGTGTTGATTATTTGGAAAATTCCTTGATTGTGGGGAAAATTCCAAACTAGAGTCAAATAGTTTGGAGTCTTGAGTCGGTTCTTTCAAAGGTTACTACATCTCTGATTATCGGTATATTGTTACAATAATCAAATGGAATCCACGAGTCACTTTTACAACTATTACATTCATGGTTGTAGTATTTACTGAGCAAGGCAAGATTTGCGAGTACTGTACGCTAAAGGTTTCCACACGAATAACTACATGTTTGAGTATCTCGTGTTCGTGTTCAACAAACCACCCAATCCAGAGAGGTTATATTAAAATTGCATGAACATGCCAATGGGACTGTCTCAAATCAGTGCATGGACAAGATGAGACTTGCCATGGAATCAGACGGTGAGTTTGTAAGCTTTTGGAGAAACGCAGCATACGCAACTAGGCCAATAACATCATCAAATAGTACGTATTTAGAAACCGTTGCGATGTGGTGTGGGTTGGAATTTTTATTGATATCTCTCACCGAAGTACACCTTTTCAAAGTCAATTCTATGATTACAGCGCTGTATCCAAATAAAATCATACATCCCATTTTGAGACAACATACAGAAGTTAATCCTGATTCCTCATTCATTTATAGTAAACATCGTTGACATCTGGAGAGTGAAAGTATTTCTTCCAGTGGTGTAACGTACCCCCGCATCGCAAGGAGGCCCAGGGTTTTAAGGGGCCCAAAACCTGACTGACGCCAAGTACTTACCCTATGTAAGATCCGGCTTGGGGCCAAGAATCTGACTTTGTAGGGGGACCCTAATATTTTCTGTTACGTCTCTGATTTCTTCTATAGAGTGGCCAGCGTTATATTTATCGACCTTATTCCCATTCCTAATCTTTGGGTTGATTTTCGACTTTCTTTCTGTGTATATTCACATTCTTCATGCAGTCGCAGAGATGTTAATTATCCTATTGGAGGAATTTTCGTAAAGTTTATGTGAAGATGTGTGGTGGTCACATATTTCATTATCGCCAGTTTTATTATTATTACTTTTTTCCGTTTTTCACATCAAGTTTTATAATGATCCAAAAGTAATGCCATTCCGTGAAGTGCTAAAATTAAACATTTACTATTTTTGTGCTTCATTATTGTTTTTTAATCCAAACGTTTGCTGTTTTCATGTGCAATTTTGTGTTAATCAATGCTTTACTTCCCATTTTGTTGTTTTTACCGTGGTATGTAATAGATGTCAATTTAATTTGTTTAAGAATCTTTAGGACTCTTTTTTTTCTGTAAGTTAGTAATTTAAAAGCCAAAACAAAAAAAAAACTGTCATTAAATCGTTTAAATAAGATTCGGGGCTTTTGATTAAATTAGATAAATTAAATATTTGTAAAAACGCTTTACTAATTTCTGCTTAGATTAACTAAACATATTTTATATTTCCAAGTTAAGCAATCAATACGTATAATTTAATTTCATTACTTTACATAAAATTTTAAAAAATACAATATTAATTATGTAATTAATTAATTTAGACAAAATAAACTTGTAAATTATATATTAAGTGATAAGACATATAAAACGTAATTTCTCTAGAAATTAAAGTTAAACTAATTTTATAAATAAAAAAGACTATGATGAAATTTATCACTTCCTTCTATTCATCATCTTTAGCTCCCTTACGTAATGTTAATTCAATGTTGCATTAATTCCTCTCAATTATAGACTACGACATTCTTGTATTTTATTCTTAAATAAATGTGGATGTAAACAATGAATAAAAGTAATTTCAAAATGACGCTAATTCAAACATGTAATTGTGTATTTCATTTTCTTGTGAATTTTGATCTCTGAATTTTGAATTGAACTTTTTGCATTTTTAAAAGTTGCACGAGGGTTATTGGCGAAGAATCTCGAAATTATGAACCTCGGTTAAATGAAGAGGACGACCCCTGAGCTTTCACCCCACTTTCCACTCCACGCTTTAGGGCTGCGGTAGCCCAGTGGTCAAGGTATCGGATCATGGCAGGCATGTCATGAGTTCGAGCCCAGTACCACTAAAGACCCCCGTGTAGGGCAGCGATGCACGTTAAATCTGTCGAGAGCTGAAACGTCCTCCCATTGGTGTGGTAGTTAGGAGAGAGGGGTGCCAGCTCAGATGTCGTCCACGTCACTTGATAAGGGTTCAAAATTACGTGGTCCGTCGCCAAAAGCCCTCTTGTAGCTGAACAGCGTGACGTTAATATTCACTCACTCACTCCACTCCACGCTAACGTGGGCACTTATAGTCTCAATAGATTTAACGTACATCAGTTCTACGATTCGGATCTTCAGTGGATTTGACAACGTTCTAGTTCGCGATTATGTCCACTTAGCTACCGCATCCTGAAATTTGAATAATTGTTTTTCAGGGTATGAAGTTTAAACTAAGAGGCATTTGGTAGTTATGGTTTCTGTTAAAAGTAAATATATTTCTTTCTTTCTTTCTTGAAAGAAATTTAAAAAGTTTTATCCAGTGAAAAACATGCAAAAGCTTTGATTTTTATATTTGCTTGCTTTTGGAATGTATTTATTCAAATTCTACGATTAGTTCACATTCTCCCTATATATATGTGGGGGAGGGAAATAACCTACGCCGCGAGTAGATTTTTTCCTGATTATTAAAAATTATGTTTATGTTGTCATGGGGCATACTTGAGGAGACTTGGTACTTTTTACTTTTCATTATTTCTTGTAGAAGGACATTTCAAACAGCTTACATTAAACTGGACAGCAGAAAAACACACAGGCGAAAGCAGGCAGCAACGATTACATGGCGATTGCAAATAGACAAATAGAATGAGCACAAATAGACTTTCGCTTTAAACCGGCTGTGAAAATCGCTTGACTACTTTGTAACAGGAGGTATGATTAGTAAGAACGGGCAGGAACAAGATTTCTGATGCAATGTCACTATTCGATTACGATTAAGATTAACGCGTTAGTTTTGAACCAAAAAATTAAAAGTTATTTAAAGAGAAGATTATTTAAAAAGAGTTAATTAAAAGGAATATCTTGAGGGAATTATTACACACACACATGTATATGTATATGTAACGTGTTCAAATTTTCAATCGTTAATGAAAAAATAATTTTTATTCAGCCACTCAAGTTCAAATACATATTTTTACACTTATAGTGGATGACACTTTATGTTAATACAGTTTTTTTTGAGGTATTAATTCATTAATTTTTTAATTAATGAATAAATACTAACAAACAGAAAGAATAGTCCAACACCATGTATAAAAAAGAAAATCGCTCATTTCGTCCCTGCAGCGCAATGGGTAGCGCGTTGGGCTTCTAATCCAAAGAGCGTGGGTTCGAGTTCCACCTGGGATTGCCTAACATCTGAGAATGTGATTTCTTTTTACTATACTATTTTATTGGAATAATTAAATTTTATTAATGAATAAATAGTAACAAAAATATAGTCCAACACCATATATAGAAAAGAAGATGGAAACTTCTTTGGAAACTTGGCAACGAAATTCGACTTCTATTTTGTCACTTAATATTGTAATTCTGTCACATGTATATACATATTTGTATTAATTGTAATTACTTAATAAAAAGTAACTAAAATAAAAATTTTCTCATTTGACCTAAGTAGTAATTGACTTAATATTTTTTATATTACTTGTTTAGAGTATGTTCTTCAGATGCAAGTAAAGATAAAAAGTGCTCTTTTAAAAAAATGAACAAATTGTAAAATCGGAGTGTGGAAGATTTTCTTGAATTTAAAATCTTCTCTTATATGGAACTGAACTGCATAAGAGAAAATTTTAAATTCAACAAATTCAAATTGCACTCCGTTAGAAAAAAGTATAGATTCTTACGAATGTGGGAAAAATCCTACTTTTCTACATTTTATATTAATGAATACCTTTAATTACCAGTTAATTTATCAAGATAATGCATTAATTTCCATTCGCAGATGGTAGGTATAATGCAGTACATTTTTGAGGAATCTAAGGTTGAATCTGATTTGCATTTAACAAATCCTTTTTAATTAGTTTGTTGTTTTTATTTTCAACTAAAATTATCATCTTTGTTCTTGAACCTCTTTCTTCGAAGCTTTTGTTCTAATTATAAAAATAAGTAAAAACAGTTTTCGCGAAATAACGTCTCCGCAACATTTCCATCGCTTATTAAGATTCTCATTTTATTAATAAATCAACATTTTAAGTCAATGACAAAGTACTTAATTATAAAATTACCACATATTCAAAATCAAACATGCAAAGGCAAAAAAAAATATATATATATATATATAAAAGCAAAATTTCATCTTAAGAGCACAGCTATTCTCTCCTTTTATTAATTAATATTCATTCCATCCGACATAGAATTATTAGAGGTAGTTAAAAAAGGCAATTAAAACCACCTTCTCAAAGTTAAAAATTAAAATAGGCTACAAGTGAGAAAATTTCCCTTCGGTATTTTCAAAGAAAACGAGAACTTCGTTTGATATCTTTGCATCAACGTTGATTTTTAGGAGGGAGAAAAAAGTACGATTTTTCTACGCATTGTCATATAAATCTAGCTTCCACAAATAAAATAAAATGATTTGCATAAACCTAAACTTGATTAGTGCGTTTGTTTAGTTCTTTTTTTGTCGCTGTTATTAACATTTTGCAACGGATGGCGTACTTATTCTCAAACTCTAGCTGCATTTGTCTGGTTGTGTGTTAGTTTTTTTATGCAAAATTACTGCAAACTCTTAATTAACTTACCATGTTATTAATTAAGTATTTTTGAATTTTTAAGCAGGCTGTGTTTACAACGCCTTCGGGTCATTAACTATTAATTACCAATTTTAACCGCACAAGTGAACCGAGTAATTTCAGTCGCGTGTTAACCATCCGTAATTTGATATTGAACAAAATGTAATTCTTCCATCTCATCATAGGTGGGCTGATATTTTTTAAATAATTTGGTCTAATTCTTAACAGCTCGAAAGTACTTCAGCAGATCCCAATCAACTTTTGGATTTTTTTCCTTTCTGCTTCTTCCTTTCGTTCGTATTCTACGACAGAAAAAACTTTTTATGGTTTCTAAATTTGCTTAATCAGTTGTTGATATGAAATGAGCTATTATGAGTAAAATTGCTTAGATCTTAATTAAAATTTGATTGTTGCTTTATGGAAATGTGTTCTTAGGTGGAAAAAAAAGAAGAAACTTCATCATCATTGTGTCTTCTTTAAGACCCGTATTTGTAATAACAGGTGTCTCTTTTGAATAATTTTCAGAATTAGCTTAGTTCTTGCGAGTTTTCTTTGATTATGTATGAGTAGATTAAGCCTCTGTATATAAATGCGGATTTTCTCTTTACTGTCTTTTTATAAAATTGGCATTGTCTAAAATTTGATTTCATTCTTCATTTTTTTAAATTGATCCAGTACCTGGTTGTACATTGTGTTTTTATGAGAAAATCGTTTTGTTTATTTTGGTTGTTATGGTTGCCGTATTAATTTTGGTTAATTGTGAGTGCAATTTTGTTTCTATCAAGGGAGAAGAAATTTCAAATTTTTATTTCCTTTACATAGGAAAGATCAAAGTACCTACTTTTTGTCCTCTCTCGTTTATTTTTCCCAAACAACATATTTACTTACTATATAAATTTTTTATTTAGGAATCTCTATATGATAATACGGTTGTATTTATTACTTATATCTCTTAAAATCTAGAATATATTTATGTTTTTATACAGTTAATTTCTTAATTTTTTTTAATTTATGATCATTGTCTTATTTTAAATTGGCATTTTTATTATTTTGACATACAATGACGTCTGGGAGACATTTCATTTCATGTACCATCGTAGACTTTGACGTCTCCAAGACGTCAAAAACTATCTCCGGTGGACACCGAGAATCGTGCCTCTATTCTATTTTATTTTGAATGTTTAAAGTACCTCTCCTTTCTTTTCGATTGTGCCCGAAATCCACACAGCTCGGGAAAAAATAGCAGATAGCAAATTATGCTTCATTTGTATGTCAAGAGGTAAAATTATTAAAGGCTATTTTATTCTCAGTAGATTATTTTTCAAATTATTTAAGTATTCTTATTTTGAAACTAAAAAAAATATATAAGTTTATTTTTGTGTGGCGTTATATGTTAACATATTTATAAAAAAAAAATTTTTTTTTTTTTAAATAAACATAATAAATTTTTTTAAAAAACTTTGTCGTTTTTACAATATTTAATTAAATAAAAAACACTTTGTTATTTTCCTTAAACATTTTATTTTATATTGATAATAAAGTATCACTTTCTTTAGAAAGAAAAATGTATTTTAATAACCCATTGCTAAAGGTATTAATTTTCTTTTACTTCTCATGAAAGATTTTGTTCACTACTGAGGCCCGAAATTTATCCCTATACGTTATGAATTTAAAAGTATATAGAAATTTGATTTCTATATACTGATACGCGAATTAAAATGTTTAAAAAAATGCATACATAGATTTTAATCAAAACAGTTTTTTTTTCTTTTTCTTTTTTTTCCTTCTTTTTTTTTCTTTTTTTTCCTTCTTTTTTTTCTTTTTTTTTCTTTTTCGTATTTTAGTTTGTGTTCTTTCTTAAGATATATACTTTCCGATAAATGAATTAAACAAAAAAATATAAAATATTTTTATCTTGTTCGTTATGTAACCATTTTTGTGCAAATTAATCTTATTAAGTAGCATAATTGCTTTCGTATATAGATATTATATTGTTTTTGACTTAAGTTAGTTAATTAAAATAATTGAATAATACTTTTCAATGTTTAGAAAATATTGAAAAGAATAAAAAATATCAAAAGATATTAAAAATAAGTATATTTTGAACTGTGTCATTTTTTAATTTTACGAGCATGAATTCTAATAATTATAAAATTAATATTATTATTTTTGTTGGTTTGTTTTAAAGGAGCTAACGTCATTATATATTAAATAGCTTATCTTACTTCAGTACCGAGTTATAACTTTAATTATATATTGAGCAGCGAAATGTTATTTCAGTATCAAATTTTAAATTGCCTTTATTTTGTCACAGGTCCGGGTTCTATTCCCGGGCTAGGCAAGGTCAACTCAGCCTTTCATCCCTACTGCAGTGGGTCGATAAATGAGTACCAAGCTTTCTTGGGGACTTAAACATGGGGGTCTCGCTTCAGACTGACCACCTGATCGAGACTTCTGCTCATGCACTTCAGAACCCAATGGTCACAGTAGGTCTTGACCATCATGGGCTGTTGCGCCACTGAGTTTGAGTTTGAGTGTGTTTGTTACATTGACATGATATTTAAATTGAACTACTTTTTAGCCGTTCATTTTAATTATACATTTATCTATTTTATTGTATTACAGGAATACTCTGTTGAAGAGCTGAAATGTCTTTGTACATTTCAAATTCGAAATATGACTTCAGAAGAAATTCTTCTTGTTATATCAGGTAAATTGTACGAATTTACAAATTTAATTATACTTATTTCTTTTTCTTTTTATAAACTATTTAAATTCATTGATTTTATACACATACAAAAGTATCATCAAGTTTCAGAAATTATATCTTGTAGAAAATTTTTGTGATTAAAAATCAAATATATAAATATCCTCCCTCCTTCGAAGATATTTAATTTATTTCTGTCTAGAAAATTATACATTCAGAATACTTGACTTTCTCAAAAATATTTGGAATTTGTAATTATAATCATAGAATTTGACTGCTGCGTAATTAATTTTAATTAATCAATTCATGTACAATAACATCGGATCTTGATTCATTTGTATTGTATGCAAAATTATCCTCAAGGAAAAAAGATAATTTTGTCAGCAGGAATTTAATGAACTTATTGTATGTTTTAGGATGGCACATTGGACGTTTTATTAATCTAAAGAAAATATTATATATTTCTTCAGTTAATTGGGTGTAATTATTTTCTCTGGCATTCATCTTTTACTTAAGTGTTATTTAATTTGAAGAATATGTTTTCTGGAAAATTTGTAATTTCATAGTAAAAAAAAAAAATGAGATATGAAGTGGATTTGAAATTATCTTTTCTGTCAATTTATATCATAGAATACCCTCTTTGTGGCAATGAAACAAATTTTTTTGGAATTGTTTAATTGGTTTTTGTTGTTGTTGCTATTTGATTACTTGCTATGTTGGTTTAATTTTTTAAAAAAAATCATTCAATTAATATTTTTTGCTGTAAAGCAAATTCTACATATGCAATTTTATGAGAGATGGGTAATATAGTAGTTAAATTTGGGAAATAATTCATTATATATGTGTGTGCATGTGCTTATCATAAGAATTTATAAGTATTCCAATTAAGAAAAAGTATCACAATATCT